CTCTCTCTCTCTCTCTCTCTCTCTTGCCTTTGTCTTAGAAATTAGCAGTTTTGCAAGCCCTCTGTCCCAGAGTTGCACATAATGTGTTTGAGGTATGATTTACTTGACCAGACAAGGGCCCTGATGGGCTTGCCTGAAGGCTAGACTTGCCTTGAAGGCTCTGTTGTACTTCTCAAGCTGTATCGTTAAGGCTGTTCACACTCTGTGGCTCATGGAGTAGCAGTCTCTGAGAAAAACATTAAATGGTGAGTTTTGAGAAACATAGCAATCATAGCTTTGATAGCTTCTGGCAGGAATACAGGGGAAGAAGGACTCAATTTTGTTTAAGAGGCTAGAGTTTGTCCATGCTCCAGTGAGTAAATGAACAACACATATTGAACTTACTTTTTTCCCATTTTTCTTCTTTTTGTGTGTGTGAGAGGGTGGTCACAAGGGTGGACAATGGACATGGGAGGAGTGGGAATTGAGTACATGGGATCTATGATGTGAAATTTCCACATAATCAATGACAATATGTTCGGGGAAAAAAGAAATAGTTATGGTCATAGAAAGGGCTGCCTGGTCCTTTGAAATGCTTGTCTTTTCCCAATCGCTGTATTTCTTTATTCCTTTTTCCTTAAAATAAAGAATGATGTAACAGGTTAATGGAGGGTCTTGTAGGAATGGAAAACAAAGCAAACAACAGTAACACAAAAGCTACCTGGATGTTTTCATGAATAAACCTAAGAGTAAACCTTAGTAAAATTAAATCAATAAGCAAAAGGCTTCTGAGTCACCACCATGTACATTCTAAACATCTGGGTTGTTACCTCTCTTACTGAACGGTACCCATGGACCACTTGTTTTAAAGTTTTAGTTAATTTATAGTGTGGAAAAGACCCCCAAGCTCTTAGAACCTCAATCCGAGAAAGATTGTATCGTTATAAAAGTTCTTATGCTAATTGCTAAATTATTCTCACAAAACAAAGATTTGTATCTAGTGAATGTTTTTATAGTATCACTTTTCATTAGTTATTTGTTAGGTTCTGGGTTTAATTTTTGGTTTGATTTGGCTTCATTTTCCTTTTTGCTTTTTGAGGGCTTTTTGTTTTGTTTTATTTGTTCTTGTTTGTTGTTTGCTTGGTTGGTTGGTTGTTTTTTGCTTGTATTTTATGAGAGGTCTCATAATATAGCCTTGGCTAGTTTGAAACTTGCTATGTTGACCAAGCTAGCCTTTTAATCATAAAGATTTACCTGCCTCTGCCTCCTCAGTACTAGGATAATAGGTGTGAGCAGCCATACCCATCTTTTATTAACATTTAAAAAAAACTTTAAAATAGTGTAGTGGATCCCTGATGATGAGTTACAAGCTCAGCAGAAATATGAGCTGTGGTGGATTATAGCTGCAATCCCAGTATCCAGACTTGAGGCAGAACTGCTGCATTTGAGGTCAGCCTGGCACTCAGAGTAAACTCCAGACCAGTCTGGGTTACACTGTGAGATGCTGTCTCCAAAGACAAAAAAAAAAAGGAACAGAACTTCAGCAAGACAGTTTCTAATATCTCTTTCATCACTAAGTTTTATGACTACACATTCTCTTCCCTGTTCCGAAGTAGCTAAAACTGTAAAATCTTGTTTGAAAGCAGAGAGAGAAATCAATCCTAAGACAAAATCAGAAATGTATCTACAGGTGAACCTATCTAAAATGAAATACAAGAAACTTACTCAGCCACTTCTCTGCCCTTTATATTACAGACCCTCTGCTGTGGGCATTAGACTACATTTCTGCAGTAAATATTTTAACACCAACATGCCCAGAATTGTCAGAATCATCACATTTCAGTTAATTGATATCTTCTAACTCTGTTTAAACATAATATCTATATATTAGCATCTTGGGTTCATCTTCTGATACTATGATAAAATACCCTGACAAATATAATTTTAAAGAGAAAAGTTTTTGTTTATTTGTTTGTTTGGTTGGTTTGTTTTGGTTTGGTTTGGTTCACAGTTCTAAGTTACAGATTATCATGGGCAGGAAGCCACAGCAGCTGAAGCTTGAGGGATGTTAGCACATTACATCCATAATCATTAACAGAGAGCAAAGAATGCAAGTGTGTGCGTGCCTGGCTCATTTATTTCTTTTATGTGGGTTTACACTACAAGACCAAGCCCAAAGAATGGTGCAGTCCACAATGAATGAGTCTTCCTCTGTCAATGAACATAATCAAGACAAACCCTGCAGGTATGCCTGCAGGGCAACCTGATTATTGAGCAAACTAACCATCACATTTAGGTATCTTAGGTAGAAGATAGGTAGATAGATAGATAGATAGATAGATAGATAGATACAATAATATATATTATATATGGAGAGAATTCTATATATAATATTTAATAATTTTTCTATATAGAATTCTGTATAATATAGTCTACCTAACATACCTAATATATATGTATATGTATATACCTAATATATAAATGATAATCAATATAAATAAATATATATGTGTATTTCTATATCTTTAAATTAAAGAACCCATTAGTCACATCCTTAAAGGAAAGAAAAAAATCTCATTCTATAATAATGGCATGCTTTGTTTTTCAGGAGTTAAAGGAGAGCTGGGTGATATGGGAGCCCAGGGCAATATTGGCAAGTCTGGCCCTATTGGCAAAAAGGGTAAGTTGGCCATGTTATTTGGCAGTACAAACTAAAGCAAGGGAGCACATGGTGAACACATTTTGTTAATGTTTTATGTCATGAAAATGATCACTTTTCTTTTTTTTAAATAGTATTTGTTCTATCTCCTGAATTTGAGTCTTATACAAATTATATTTCCCATAGCGGAGAATCAAAATAAACTGTGGAATAAAATTAAGCAAGACTTCAGAACAGAATCACAAATAAAGTTCTTGTAGGTTCTATACTGAACTCTCTCCCTAGATCTATGACTAGCTACTAACCCTTGCTACAACCCAATGATATCATAATTTAAATATTGTCATGATTACTCATAAAACACAAGGTAGACAAGTATAGAGTAGAAAAATAATACTAATGTCTCCAAAATCTATTATCAAGATAAGAAACTGAAGTGTATCCAAAAATGCCCACCTCTTCGGACAAATTTTGCTATAACTACAGCCTCAATAAATTGTTTTTTATTACCCAATCTCCCCTTCCCTGCCCTCTTCCCATAAAACCTCACAATGGTAACAAGTCTCAATTGTTCTCAAATTCATTAATTCATTTATATATACAGGCATTGTTCCATTTGGTTGGGAACATGAAGCCGAAGGAAAAGTCAAAGTGCTTTGCCAGCAGCTCAGAGATGATTCAGAAAGATAATCTTTTTCACAAGAAGAATTATAATCCTGAACAACATGAGTACTAGAGGTGCCAAATGGGAAAAGAAGGCAGGATTGAGATGGGGAGAAACTGAAATAGATCTTAAGAAACAGCAACAAGTTTTCGCACACCAGGGAAAAAAATTTAAGGGAAATGCAGGAAATAGTCCTACAAAGGTTCAGATTAGAAGCTCAGTGCCATGAGTGCTATAGTATTGCATCCTTTGTGTTATAACAAATGCATAAGTCATAAATATTTGGCACTTTTCAAAACTGATCAAGTGCCTAGTGGTGCCCAACAGTTGAATCTTTTTTTAATTGGATATTTTATTTATTTACATTTCAGATATCATACCCTTTCCCCATTACCCCTCCCTAGAACCCCTTATCCTGTACCCCCTCCTCCTTTTTGCTTTTATACCATTTTAATTACATGCATGTATTATGGTCAGTTCTAGGTTGAGACTCTAACCATACAATCGATGCAAATAGCCAAGGAACAAGCAGCACGATAAACACAAATAGTCAAAGAAAAAGCAAGGCATTAAACCCAATTACATGAACACTCCCATGATCACTGATTCTAAGGGCTTATCAGAATGACCAAAATATCTGAGCCTACTTTCCTCTCTTAGAGAAACTCATTTTCATGTCTGAAGCCTACTTCCTTTTTCTAGCCTAAAATTTAGATTCCTGTCTGAAATTACTTTTTTGTTCTAGCCTAATGTCAGATTCTGAATCCTATTTCCTTGTCCTTGGCCAATGTCATATTCCTGCCAAGCAGCCCAATTCCTTGTCCTTGGCCCATGTCAGATTCTTGCCAAGCAGCCCCAAAGGCTCTTAGCCTCTCCCTGTTTTTTATTTCATTAACAAGACTGAGCCTGTCTTAGGTCATTCTGACAAGAATGCCTTCCTTACCCATCATGGAATATGCATTATCAAAAGCAATTCACTTCTGTCTTAGGCTAGTACGGCTAGCCCTTTTTTCTTGGGAATAATTTTATTCCTGCTGATCGTGTTAAAGCTTGTCTTTAACAACATCAACAGGTTGCCAGTCAAAGTGCGTGGTTTGAACCTGAAAATGGACCCTGAGACATAGTTATTAAATTAACAGGCTGCCAAGCCAAGGACAGCTAAGATTCTGCACAGAGCCTTATCAACAGTTGAATCTTATAGGGAGCTTGCCAGAGTGGAATCTGGGTGAGGCTTGTGACTTCTAATCGTGCCTGGAGGCTCAGTGCTTCCTCTTAGCTGTCTCAGCCACTCTTTCCCATGTTGATGGACTGGGAGACATGGATGAGCATCTCTCTTGAATGTTCATTACTGGTTGAAATCTTTATAGCTGGGGGATGCTATACAAGTTCCTCATAGTCCAGGACAGCTGTTGTTGTTTGAGTCTGGTGGTTTTATCAAAAAGCTGAGCTTTTTGTTTTTTAATTGAAAAGCTTCAGAACACTTCATTTGCACAGGTTTTACCTGAAATCCTGAGAGGATGCTTACCATGGGTTTACAAAATATGTTTTGGTAAACTTTGGAAATTAAGACAGTCATTTTATATCTATCAGCTGAAATAGTAATTCTCTACATTTTTGAAATGATTGCCTCTCTAGCAGTACACATATGTAATATATTAACATATGTTTGGTATGTAATATATATTAAAGTATGTTTCTTCTTCAACCCCAAACCCATTTGTACCCCTTAGTTGATATTGCCACCAACAATGCCTGAGTTAAGACCACTGTCTCCAGCTCTAAGTTCTCTCTACCATCCTTCTTGTATTGAATGGTTTTGGAGTGGATACAAGTATTCAAGAAGTGTACTGAGACTGGCTTAAATGAAGAAAAACATTTAGTTTGGACTTAAGCTGATATGTTTATGTAGTTTGAAGTTACTTTCATAAACAGTTAAGTTATTGCTAACAAGTACAGCATAGGAATAGCCTCCAAGAATATTCTCACCACCTATTGTGTGGGCTAGTACAAGTCATGAAACAAGTGCTGACTGTGCCCAGGCACATGCAGCACAAGAAATGTAGAGAAATAAACAAGGGTAAAATGCTTGACAAACCTAGAGCTGGAGATAATTTGAAGTTTTGCAAATCAGACATCTCAGGTATACATGACAAATATTTTAGCAGAATATGTCCTCAAACATGATGATCATCTGAACATTCATATCCTATGAAGAACAAGTTGCAATGTTGGAAAAACAGTAGTATGGTTAATAATCACACAATATCCTGACTTTAGCTATAGGGCAAGAGGCTACAGTCTACATCAAATTAATCTTTCTGAAAATTATGACTGGCTAGGTTTTAAAATATATAAACATGCTTACATATGAAGGCATGAGAGAACTGCAGCCATGCTCTGGAGTATTAGGAGTCAAAGTGAAATTAACTTGTAGATTCTACATAGGACATTCATCAGTTCATATCCAGTGCCCACTGTACAGGGGAGGAAACACTGAGAGACTCAGGTGTGACTAGAAACTTGCTCAGACTCAACTGATTCTGAAGGATTTCCAAAGAACAGAGAGCCCCAGGAAAATGCTCCATAATTCAGTTATAACTCCAGAAAAATCAGAAAGGCATTTAATTCAACATATACCAATTTGTGTTTGTTTAGCATAGCAAACTAAGTGTGTGAGAAAATACGTGATCAAGAAGAGAATATAAACAACAAAGAATCTACTTCAAAAACATTCAATTAAAAAATCAAAACTCAAAATGTCTTTCTCAAGATTGGTAACAAGGTTAGCATCTCCCTCTATCTTCAATTCTAATCAACATTCCTCATGAACATCTAGCCAGAGCACAAATACAAAAAAGAACTAGGAATCTCAAGAGTAGAATACAGACTGAAATTCATCACATACAGCTGATTTATTGCATGACCAGAAAATTGTTAATAAGCTACAGATAAGCTACTTATATAGAGAAGAGTTTTAGGATGCCAAACAAATAAAACTCAATTTGACTTCTAAATACAAAAAATGATGCCATTTATCATAGTATCAAAGTTATCATATACTTAGGAATACATTTAATAAAAAGTATCTAAGCCCTCCATAACAACCACAGTATGGTAATGGAATCAATGGCTGAAGAAATGGAAGTAGAGTTACTACATCCAGACTTGGTTTACACAGGTTGATACTATTCTTCAATGGAAAATCAGCTGCATATTTCTAAATAGTACTGGGTTAGCTAAATATTCATGTTTAAAAATAATAATTGGCTCAATGTGTAAATGTGCTTGCTGTTTTGCATAAATACAAGCACAAATGACAGAAGTATCCCTAGGGTCTTTTCAGAGATTGTTGGGAATTCGACCCAAATCCCAAGCCAAAGTTTACTTAATGATATTTTACAAAATTCAAACAACAATTTTATATATCAAATCTTCTAACACTATGCAATCGAAAGCTATACTAAATTGATGCCTACCTGCTAATGAATGACAATAGGAAAATATGGTCTTTGCTTTCCCTTATGCTTATGAATATTATGCTTATATAACTTTGTATATACAATAAAAACACTAAAACCCATAGAACAATCCTCTTGGCTCTGATTGTGTGATATGGCAACACACTCTATGCTCAGAGCCAAGGCTGCAGTGAAGCCACAGGATACAACATGGGTGAGCATTGCCACCAACACCTCAGATTCATTATAGGAGTAATTTTGAATTGGCTTTTGCTCTTGGCATTTTCAAAAACTTTTTACTGTTACCAAGTTTCTCAGGACACGCACATTTACTTATTCAACCCGAAATGTTGTCAATAACCCACAATTTAAGGAACTCAGTATTAGGTGACAGAGAAAAAGAGGAGTGACAAATCTTTATTTAGTATGACTAGCTGAGCCACTAAGTGGATGGATCACAGAAATGTTGAATAATTAAATTTGGAAATGGTGGATTAACTAAACATTCTCCTTTCTGTCCATTCCCACTTTCCCTTTATCACTCAGAGGTGCCGTACCCAAAGTACACCTCTATCACTGTCCTCATGGTTTTTATTTGCCCCTGTAGAATATTGGTTTCTGGGGGTATCTTAATTAGGATTTCTATTGCCATGAAGACCTACCATAGTGACTCTTATAAAGGCTAACATTTAAGTGGGACAGACTTAACAGTTTCAGAGGTTTGATTCATTATCTCCTGGTGGGAAACATAGCATCATGCAAAGAGACAGTACTGGAGAAGGAGCTGAGAGTTCTACATCTGGATCCGGAGGCAGAACAAAATGAACTGTCTTGAGCTTATGACACCTCAAAGCCCACCCCTACTGTGACAGACATTTTCTAAAAGGCCACACACACCA